CCTGCCTCTGCCTCCAGAGTGCTGGGATTAAAGGCGTGCACCACCACCTCCTGGCTGTCCTTATCATTTTTAAATAAAAGAGGATACAAAAAGTTTAAGTTAGCCAGGTGGTGGTGGTACATGGCTGTAATCCCAGCAGTTGGGAGGCAGAGGCAGGTGGATCTCTGTGAGTTCAAGACCAGAGTGGTCTACAGAGCTAGTTCCAGGACAGCCAGGGCTGTTATACAGAGAAACCCTGTTTAGGGCTAATAATCTTAAACCAAAAAATATAAAATGAAAACATTAATTGTGCATTAAGTATGATTGTGTATTAAATAAACAATCTCATTTCTTATCTAAAGAAATACAAAATTCAAATGATGTTAGAACTTTATCAGTGTTTAAGAAATGCTTGCTAGGCTGGGAGATGTTGTCACCCTACTGATGTTGTCACTTTAGTAGAAGGAGAGAAAAGTAAACAGCCATTACAGAACAATGTGACATGCTGTACATACTAATGAAAACATACTCTTGACAGAGTATGAGAAGAAAAACTGCTTGGACAAGATTGTACAGACATGTGTTAGGACTGTAGCAAATATCTGACAGTACAACAGAGTTTCAAAATACAAATAGGAGTTTGCTAAAAACAGAACAAAGACAATAAAGAGTATTTCTACTACCAAGTAAAAGTCTTGGGTTTAGAGCTGGAAATAGGTAATAGAGCACTTGCCTAGCATGAGCACACCCTGGACTCTGTCCCCCGTACCTGAGCAGACAGCATGTTCCCAAAGCAGCATTCTCAAGCTTCAGTGTACATGTAGAAAGAGGTCTAAGTCAGGACCCACAATCTTCAGAGCAATCTGACAGTGGCTGCTCTTTGTTATTCACCTACTCTTTGAGAAGTAGTGCTGCCTAAGATCATCCTGGCGGTTCTTTGTGCAGTACAGTTCTAACAATCCTGTTATTAAAAATTGTTGACCATGATATAAAAACTTAACAAGGATATCGGCTTATGAGGGCACATGCCTTTAATCCCAGAACTCAGGAGGCAGAGGCAGGAAAGATGTATGTGTTGGGGGATAGCCTGGTCTACATAGGGAGTTCCACGCCAGACAGTTATTTGGAGAGATCCTGTCTCAAAAAAAAAAAAAAAAAAAAAAAAAAAAAAAACACAAAAAAAAAAGAAAGAAAAAAAATCAACAAAAACAAACAAGAAACTGAAAAGTCTGTGAGGGCTAATCTTCACTGTCAACTTGATTGGATTCAAAATCCTGATGTAAATACACCTCTGGATGTGTCTAAGGAAATTTCTAGAAAGGGTTTAACTGAAGAGGAAAGACCCACCCTGAATGTGTATAGAATCATCCCATGGGCTAGGGTCTCTGGATGAAAAAGAGAAAGCATACATAGGCATTCGTCCTTTTCCATTTTTTCTATGATCACACC